GAATACTGAACTGACCAATGCTATCTTAAATCTTTGAGTAGTAGATATTACTGACTGCACTCTTATTATAATAACTCAATTCTTAATAACTATAATAGATTAATTACAGTTAACTGACTAATAAATACTGATATTACTCTCTATACTAATAGTTATACTGTTCTTAATTATCTGTCTAAGTATATTATCAAGGCTGAAACAGACACAGAATTCTATCATCAGATTATTTAATAAGTAATTTCAAGAATCAGTTCAAGTCACTCACTACTCTCTATAATTATTAAACTTATGAATCAGCTTATTGATGAGTGTAATTAGTCTGTTTAAAAGATTTATTATCTTCTTTTAAATCTTTCTTTATAAATGAGTTCTTACAAGTCAATTGTAGTTGATTATCAGCTTAAATCTTAATATTATTATAGCTATATTCTTAAATCTGATGAATTATAATATAATTCATTCTTTTTAAAAAATATAAGCAGTAGTTAACTGAATTTAAAGATCTTTCATTTCTTGAATTTCTTTAAATCTTTTCTCACAGTTATTAAATTAAGAGATATTTTTATATAAAACTCTGAGTATTAATCTACTTTTCTGTTTATCAGTTTGAAACTGATTTAGAGAACTATACTTATATTAAACTTCTTCTTTATTACTCTTTTCATTAAATTGAAGATCTTAAGATTATTAATCTCTTCATCTCTTGATTCTCTTTTACAGAAATCTTTAATTATTACTATCTTTCTTATAATCACTCAGTTGATGTTTATGATAAAGACATGCTGAAATCAGAACCTGAGTTTGAAGATAATCAGAATAATGAAAAGAAGCTTAATCTCTCTTAAGTATTATTTATCTGTTAAAACTCACAGTATAATAATAATAATCTTATTAATATCTGAAACTGTGAATAGCTTGATTATCAGTTCTTAGATTTCAACTATGATTGAAGCTCTTATATTAATACTTATATCAATCTTAACACAGAATTTTAAAACAATATAAAGACTGACTTTCTCACAGATACTACTCTTTATAAATATGACTCACTTAAGACTCTAGACTCTGATTAATATCTTCTTTATAATATTATTCTCTATTATTATACTAAGATTCTTAATAATAAGTTCTTGAATTCTTTACTAATTAATTTAAATAATAAAGATGATACTGATAAAACTTATCTGATTATGATTTTATCTATAACTCTTCAAAATCTTGCAGAGACTCAAGATCTCTCAATCTCAATTATTTAAGCTATGTTAACTGATATAGCTGCTTACTTCATTAATACTTGAATCTTATATATATTATTTCAGCTTCTCATACATAAGAATATATTATATAAACTGTTTAATTCTTAAAATCTTTAATCTTTACAGGCTCTTTTTAAGAATGTTCACTATCTATTAATTAATGAAAAGTCAATGATTGATTTACAGTAACTTTTATAAATTAATCAGATCTATTATTATATATTCTCTCATAAGAATACTTATTTTAATAATCTCAGTGTTATTCTTAGTAAAGATTTCTATTAACTCTTATCTATTTTTCAAACTTCACTCTATTATAACAGATATATTAATTATAAAGAAGATATTCAGAGCTATTAAATCTACTTAACTTTTAGTAAAATTATTTAACTTACTGTGATTCAATAATAAGTGAGTGAAGATACTATCAGCTATCAGTTCTATAAGATCTTGAAAAATCTTTATCTTAATCAGTTAACTCTGAATAATTAAGAGTTTCTTTTAAAGTATATACAGACTCTTATCTCTTATAAAGTCTCAGTCTTTGAGAATATAATTTATATTTATATAAAGAAGTATTATATTCATATCTATAATAATAATACTATTTAAAGCTGTAAATAATCTATTATTAATATTCAGACTATAAATATTAATATAGATACTTTTTAGTTAGATTCTGATAAGACTGATAATCTTTATTAGAATCTTTCTCTCTTTATCAGCTATTAAATTATATTTCTACAGAATATTTAAATAGACTGTAGCTTTATTAACAGTGCTCTTAAGACTCTTTATAATATTGTATAAAGTTTAGATATAAAGAATTTCTATCAAGATTCTTCATTTACACTGTTAATTAATTTTAATAAATATAATAACTCTACTTATTTAAAATGAAAGAGTCTTAAACTTGTATCTATCTTTCACAGCTGCTATGACTTTTCCTATATTAATTAAGTCTGCAGTTATACACAGTTCTCTATTACAGTTATATATACTATTACTATTTATAAATTTCAAGAATTATCACTTGATCAGACTATTCTTAATATTTCTAAGACTGAATTTCAGACTGATCTCATATATATTACAGTTTCATAGATTAAAATATATCAAGATCTTCTATTTAAATAACTCTTTAATTATTTCAGATTTTACTGATCTGATGATAAAGTAAGTAGAAGTATACAGATATATAAGATTAATTATATAAGATATTAAAGTTAATAGATAACTAAGTTATATTTCTTTTCTTTTTATAGATCTCTATTAATTTATATTCTATATAGCTTTATCTGCTCTTTATTTCATCTTTTTCACAGTTTATATTTAATCTGTTTATTTATTTATTCTTTATTACTATAAGTTCTTCACTCTCTATTCTATTATTCTCTTTATCTATTCTACTCACAGATTCACTGAATTCAATCATTGAATTTAATAAATTTATTATAGTTAATTCTATTATAATCACTGAATCTGAGAATAAGTAGTTAGTAGTTTATAGAAGATATTAAAATAATTCAGATATTAATTTATACAGCTTAGATTTAATATAATAATATCTTTAATCTGAGAGATTGAGAATCTTCTAAGATCTGTGTTATTAAGATCTATATTATATTATATAATAAGAGATATTAAATTCTTACAGCTATTAATATATATATAAGAGAAAGTGAATAAATCTCAGAGTATTTTCTTTCTCTTTAAAGAATTTATTTTATCTCTCATCTCTTATCTCTATCAGCTGTTTTTTTTTTTTTTAGAAATCATGTTATTTATCTTTATTAATTTATCAGAAGTTTAAAAAATCATCAATACTATTATTATAACTGAAAATAATATCTTAAAATATATTTATTATAAGTAAGATTCTTAAAATAATAAAAATTACAATTTTAATAATCAGTATAGTTTTTAATAATCTTATTCAGTTTATTAAGCTATCAGTTATTAATCTCATTCTCAGTTCTATATCTATATCTGTATCTGCTTCTACTGTATCTATCAGTTCTAGATTATCAAGTTAACTATTAACTTATTTAATTAAAAGAATATCTGAGAAGCTATTAAAGAAGTTACAGACTCTTATCAAATTATTCTATATTTATAAGTCAGTCTTATAGAAGAGTTATTAGATTAATATAAAAATTAATATAAATTATAAAACTCTTCTTCTATAATCTCATAGTACTGTTTTTACAGTTTTCTACAGTTACTATATTAAAGAAGAAAACTCTTTTATTATCTATATCAGTGCTCTGAATCAGTGTTATAAAGCTTGTATTAATTATTATTATAATAACACTGAAAGTTACTGCTCTTATTATAGAAGTAAGTCACTTTTCAATATAAAATATATTAATTTTAATATAATTAACTAATAGTTATACATAGTTAATATCAGTAAAAAGAATGATAAAGTGAAAGAAAAGAAGTAGAAGAATAAAAAAAGAAAGAAAGTTAAGAAAAAGAGTTTATTTAAGAAATACTTTATAACTGAGAATATAGAGACTAAAGTCTTGAAAAAATAAGTAATAAGTATTGAATCAGTTAATAATTGTGATATTAAGATTTTAACTCTTTATATTGAAAATGAGACTCTATATAAGAAGAATACAGTTCTGAAGACTAAATTCAGAACTATTATAAGTCTTCTTCAGATCACTTAAACTGTTCTTAAGAATAATATATAAGCTGATAAGACAGAGTGAGATGTTTTTTATTTTTTTTCTTACTTAGTTAGCTGATGCTTTTACACTGAAAAATGAATCTCTATATGTTTTTACAGTTCTATCTCTTCTATTATTATTAATAATAAGCTGTAAAATCAATCTTGCAGGGTCTTCTGTTTTGAGCTTAGCTCCACAATGTCTTTGCACACAGAGGCTCATGTGCATTAAGATATTTTATAGTACATTTTTCACTCAATCGATTGCTCCAAAGTAGCCCAATATTACACAATGGAGAACTTCCAAGCCGTCCAATATCTTGAATCCCTACTGGGAAAAACACTCAGAATTCATACGATAGATACAAGGCTATTCGTCGGCACCTTCAAATGCACAGACAATGTAAGCTCACCTACATCTAGCTCTTAGCCGGGAACCCCCCCCCCCCCCGCTATATATAAATAAACCCGAATCCTTCCCCTTAAAAAACTTAACCAAAAGAGCCAATACCTTCCATGAATCTGATATCTAAACACACATACATATCTTCCTACCAATAGGATCGAAACATTATCCTCTCCGCAACCCACGAATACCGCTATCCCTCCATCTCTCCTGACATTGAAACCGAACCCGCGGATGTCGCCAGAGACGATCCTGCAGCTACGGGCATTGTCAAAGCCGATATGACCAGTCGCTACATCGGCCTAGTGGTTGTCCCCGGCCAGTATATCACCAAGATTGAGCTGGATGAATATCGACCACAGCAACCGGGGGGGAATCGCCAGGCACCGTTAAGTTGAGAATGCCGAGCAGCAGCGTGCACTGACTGGGTGGAAATTACAATTGCAAGCGGGTTCAGAGAAAGAGAGGGATAAAAAATAGAACCACATTATCCGGGTGATCTCAGCCATTGGGAAATTTTTCTTAACAAAAAGCTCTCTCCATCCGGCTACCGCATATCGACTCTACCCCCTGCGTACCTACCTACTCTATATCTCTCGGGGCGACACTAACATATATCCAGCCGTGTACTACGTTGAAATCGGACTTTCTGACAAGCCATGAGGGGGAAGAGTACATGTACAATCACGTTAGGCACGGCGGAATCCTTTTACGTTTTCACCAATTTCACGATCGCCAGGTACTACATTAATGTTTTTCACGGCTAACCGGATGTCATTCCCCAGCCCATAAATGGAGACACGGAGGAAACGGAGGGCCGCGCGGCAACGAGAACGGTTTGTCCTCTGTCCGTACGTGTGTGCACAGCGAGCACGGATAATTAAAAGGTGGGGGGGTGCGAAGGGTGGACGGGCCGCTGCGGTGACAAGGTATCAATCAAATCTTTGACTGCCGTCGCGAGAGAGACATCGAGTCGGAATCGAGCCGAGACAGTGATTAGATCGGGCAATTATGCTTTCGGATTTTTGTGGAAGTGCCAATTGTTTTGGAGAAGGGTTACACGACAAAACTTTTTGTGCCTTTTTCGTGGGATGTCCTATTTCATGACGAATGGCCCCCTGCCATTAATTTCCCGGTTGAGTTTGCAATTGGAGGGATGTTGTTTTGTTTCCGATTGTTACGTTTGTGGTGTTATACAGACAGGAGCAAATATTTAGTAGGAGTGTGTGAGGCTGGCTAGATTACACATCCCATCCTACATTCCATGTTCGATTTATATAGTATCCATTTGTGAATAACTCTGCAGCATTGGCGACCACAAATAGAAAGAACATTTGCTTCGAAGTAGTACAGAAAATAGAAGAGTTCTACATTGCAATGTTCAAGAATGTAAAGGTCTACATACCCACAGTGTTGGGATCCAAAACCGGATACGCAGAAAGAAAGTGCCCAGGATCATTTGACGATCGGGGAAATGTAATGGCTAGATAGAGAGGACAACTCCTCTTGGTCAGTTTTCACGCCTAGATAGATATCTTACTCTCGCCATCCGCTGCTGGCAGTGTAATAAGGGTTTCAACTCCGAGTTTCGTATATTGAGGAGCATGGTTGATCGCGTTGGTAAAATTGAAGAGTAACTAGGAAAACGAAGAAACTGACGACGGACAAGAGGCCGAACATGCCTGGGTGGCTAGGAACGGAGCTTTAGTTAACTACTCTGTACTGATTTCATAAACAAAATACATCCCATTTTCAATGTACATGGTAATTTGTCTTGTTGTTTAAAGCTGAACATTGAAAATATGAAAGAGAAAAAAAACATGATAAATGAGGGGTATAGAAGCGACCAAAAAAAAAAAAAAAAAGAGAGAGAGAGAGAGAGAGAGAGAAGAAGAAGAAGAAAGAAAGAAGAATAAGAAGAAAGAAAGAAGAATAAGAAGAAATAAAGAAAAACGGAAGAAATGGTAAAAACGGCGTTGCGAGCGTGTGCATATATGGATGGAAAGAAGGCAGAAGTCAGAACAAAATTTAGCCTATAAAAAATACATGGTAGGCTTCGGGAAGTAAGTTGTATCAGAATCGAATTCAGCGAGCAAGAGGCAAGCCAGAGAAGAAAAGAAAATTGGTTTAAAACAGGATATAGATATGGGGAAAAAGGGGTCCAATACTGTGAGTTAGGAAAACGAGACTAGAGAGAATGAAACGGGGGGGCCATGTACGTGCAAGATGAACAAGGATATATATAGGTAACCCAAAGTAATCCTCCAAAAAAAAAGCGTGCGAAGTTGTTTTGCAAGCAACCCGGGCACTAGAATTTCGTGCTCCATTGTGAGCCAAAAGCAAATAGCGGCAAACGAGTACTACTACGTCTCCTGGTTAGTTCCAGCGACCGTGTGAATTGGCACCTTGATTCTGTGCGTACAACTGCCCCGCAAATGTAGTGGTGGAGGGAGCGCTCTGGGAGCGTAGGGCCGTAAGAGCGACTTCTGCCGCATCCTCTTTGGCGTTGTTGGTATTCTGGCCGTCGTAGAAATAGCGGGCAGCAAAGCTGGTGCCCTGAATTGTGACGGTGCTAGACCATGCGGTGCGGCCGCCTGAGGAGAAGACAGATGTAGAAATGAATGGGTTAGTAGTGGCCTTGACTTGTTCAGAGATGCAGCATGGGGTTCCTTTCTTCTTCTTTATTTTTTTTTGTCTTTCGTTTCTCTTTTTTCTCATTTTATTGGATGAGGGCAACGAGAAATCAGGTAGATGATATTGAATGTACGTTTCTCACAAAGATCTAGGTCGGAGAGGTGGACGGGCTCAAGATGACGGGGCAATTCTTTTCTATTTCTTTCTAAGACCCAAAAAAAAAAAAAAAAAAAAAAAAAAAAAAAAAAAAAAAAAAAAAAAAAGAGGGGAACCACCTCGACGATCGGACATAAGGTTGAAAACTGGAGCCTGCATTTGGCTTATCCTGCAGTGTTCTTCGGAGGATTTTTAGTACTTGAACAATGTGGGAGGGTTTCAATTGTCAAGGACATTGTCGGACCTTGAAGCTTCTCCTGCCATGTAATACGTTGAACGCCATTTGTGCGGGGAGCAGTATTGGCGGTGGCGAGGCTAGCCATTATTGAACTCTTGTTTCTGAAAGAGGGTGAGAAGGTAGAAGGGAAATTCTGGTGCAATGAGCTAGATCGGGACGATAATGGTATCCGTGAGGTTTGAGTCGTTATATAAACAGGTGACAAGAAGTAGGCAAAATGTAAAACCAATTTGAAGAGGAAACAAATATATTAATATATTTGAAGCGAGGGAATCAAAAAAGTATTTTCTAAACACAAAAGAGAAAGAAAAACTTTTTTTCTTTTTTAGGTATTTTGAAGGATAAAAAAACCGAGGAGGAGAGGAGGAGGAGAACCGATAGCTCTAATATAAAGGAATTGGGGAGGAGCGGAGAGGAGGGATGGCAAACCACATCAATGAACTTCTATAAAGTTCATTATTTACTGCAAGAACCGCACCGGAGCCCAACCAGTCAGTCCAAAGAGGATAGTCTTATGCAAGATTGAGTCAAGGTGACGAGTGTGTATCGTTAACGTCCACATTTCTCCTTCCTACACACCACACCACCTCTGGCAATCATCGAGCCAGCTTTGGAGCGACATGACATGGAGAGAGCCCATTGATCCTCCTAGGAGGAGAGGCTGATGGAACGGGCCGCTGCCTGGCGCTTTCCATTAGGTTCCGAGTTGAACTCCAGGAACTAGACGCCTGGTTAACTATGCGCGCCGGCGACAGGAATCAAAAGCAGCTCTCCCAAAAGGGCATGTTAAATGACGGGGATTTGTAAATGGACTAGCCGGTGGACAGCAAGCCAGACCCCCCCCACCTCGATGGAAAAATGGAATGGAGCTGTGAGAGGGGCTCTTCCGAATGCACCAAAGGCTGGCTTGCCATGGATGTGCTTGAGTAGCTCGAGCTGGGGCTTGTGAGCTCCCTCCAGGCGATGTAGTGTTAAAAAAAAGGGGGTGTATAGGATATTATCAACCACACGAGCGCTGGATTCAAATGAGACAGGCTGTTGAACCTGATGGTTGGGCAGCGGCCAACCAATTTGACGAACCCAGCAAAGACTTGCCAGCTCATCAAAAATAAAAATAAAAATAGAGATGATGTGCCCTTGACAGGCACGAACAGCGCAAAGGAGATATGGTGAGGCAAGAAAGCGCCGACAGAGGGGGGTAAGGCGGCCAGAAGAAAAGCTTGAGTGAGTGAGTGAGTGTGTTTCGCCTCCAACTCGTGAGGGAATAAAAAAAAAAAAAGAAAAGAAAAAGAAAAAGAGCAGTGGGGAATCCTGACGATGGAGGGGTTGTTAGTTATTACAGTCAGGTAGACGGTGGATATCAGCAAGTAGAAAGCCAGATAACGGGGATTTTACGGGCTTTCCAGCAAGGCCGACGTGCAGCGAAATCAAAAAAAAAAAAAAAAAAAAAAAAAAAAACGCGGCACCAGCTAGCGGGGGCTTTGGCATGGAGAATTAATTAGCCTGCCGTTCGCTGTCGATGGCCTCCAAGGCCATTCCGGGCTTTGTTGCGGTCTTGATTCGCTGCTTTTTCTTTGCTCTCTCTTGCTGAAGCGGAGGTTGGGCACTCATACCTGCATTGTCAGCACGACACGCTCCACAGCGAATGCGCAGAGATGGAGATTGGAGATGATTGATGGAATGGCTCCAGAGTGAGAAAGGGGCAGAAAAAAAAAAAAAAAAGAAAAGAAAAGAAAAAGAAAAAGAAAAAGAAATCCAAGAATCCAAAGAGGTCGAATGAGGACTAGAACTTGTTGGAGCTAACTGCTAACTGAGGGTAAAGTGGTAGTTAACTAGTTGCACGAATTCGAGCTCGAAAAGACTTGAGAACCAAAAAAATAAAAAATAAAAAATAAAAAAAAATAGAAATAAGCCCATGTAACCCCCCCCCCCCAGTTGCTTGCTGAGATAGCTGCATTTAAAAAATAAAATAAAAATAAATAAATAAAAATAAATAAATAAATGACTATTCGATATGATAGTATGATAATAATACAAGAAAAGGAAGATGAATAATTACAGAAAAATGTTGCAATATCATATCCATAGACATGGCTTAAGCTAGTACGTTATCTCCAAAAATAGGACACAATAAGACAAACCCGCATGAACTTCGTAAAAAGAAAACATATAATTCTAGCCACGTTTCATCGTAAATAGGACCTGTTTGTCTCCAAAAATGCTGCCCATTCCAGCGGTCCCGGTAGCTCCTGGAGGGGTCCAAGACATGGTATTCGATGGCCACCTTCGTAGTGCCCTAGTCCCCCTGTAACGCCGTCTGCACAATGATCGATCGTATCCTCCCTCCTGCAAACTAAATGGATTTGCGAAAAAGAAAAAACAGAAAAAGAATTGAGAAAAAGAAAAATTTTATGGTTCGTAGGAAATGCGCCATTTCCACGTACATGAACCTAGCCTCATCGATATACTCCAGGGCAGGCTTTCTTACATGGCAAAAGTGTGACAACCTGACCCCCTCAATTGCTCTATTCCAGTATGGCGAAGATCTCATTCCCGACTGCAAAATAGCAAAAGTCTCGATGTTCTGGTACCAAGCCATGAGTTCCACGTCAATAATCTTATAAAAAAGAAAAAGAATTAATAACAAGTACATGAGAGAAGATAGTGCAGCAATGGAAAAATACAATAGTGGGAGCAATCAAAAAGCCCGATATAGCCCGTGAAAGAGAAAGACAAAACCTGATTCTTAAGCATGAGCAAACATCTGGCGAAATGAGCTGTGTCGAGATCCAGTCGAGCCACGACGGTGGAAAACCTTCTCTATAATTTTGTTCGAGGCCACAGAGTCCATACTCTTCATAAATGATGAAGTCATAGGAGTGTGGGAGAGTGAGGTCCGTTTGTTATTCCAGCGGCGCTTGATACTGTCGTCCACCAATGCAATAAGCCCAGTGGCAACGACGACACTAAAAAACATCATGCATTAGAATATGTAATGTACCTCAGGGGCGCTGTGAAGTGGCAGGTAAACAAACTACTTACTCAGCAACATCTTTCATGCTTTCATATAATGAAGGGTCGCTGATCCACATAGAGCAAGGCGGAATCCAGCCGCCTTTGCTTCTTTCTTCCAGAGCTTCCAGCGGAGTCAGACGTTCTGTTAAAATGTGTGCAACTGGTTTTGACTTTGCTACATGATAGAGGTCAAACGAGATTTCCTTCGAATCTCCATCCCTTCGACTACTTCTCTTCCATTGATATCTCGTACTCCAATATTCGAAGTCGTAATGTTTGGAGCCCTTGGGGCCTCTTCGCTTGACATCGACATGCGCATAATTGGAGAACTCGAGTTGGATAATGTTTGTCGGCTCGGGGCTTTTGGGTCGCGATAATGATTCTATAGAATATCTCCTGCCATTGCCATTCTCGGTGCATTCTGTTGATGGTTTATATCCCGAGTTCTGCCTCCATAGCCCATTCGTTGTGGTGGCTATTGAATCTGATTTGGAACGCAGAGTGGAGAAAGCGTTGGTCAAAGGTCGTTGCAGAGCAGTGAGCATTTCTGCAGACGGCTGGTTGAACTTCCTCGCTGAATGGCAGACCTCTCTTCCGGAGTCTCTGCAATACCGTCGAAGTGAGAATTTCCTATTTCCCAGATCGTGCATGCGGAGATGAAACAGCGTGATGTCGTACTGACGCCCTCCTGGCTGAACCGCAATGGTATCAATGCGTAGGTTCATGTTTCCATCAATCGTGGTATCATCGTGTCTTATAAGAAGTCGCCTGGGGGATGGGAACAACTCTCCAAACGTTGGTGGGGATGAGGGGATAGGATTCGATGGAAAATCCTCATATCTATCTGAGACAAGTTCGATTGGTGGCTCGTCGTCTATGTCCTCTTCTGTTTCTGATAATATTGTCGATGCATATGTGTCTGTTGATTCTCTCCCATTAACTCCAACCTGAGGGTTGCCTTTTCCTAGATTAATCACCATAGGTGGATGGCTGTAAGCGGTTTGATAAGTGCTATGTGACTGATTAGATCTATGTCTAGACGCCGAAGTACTAGAACTATCATTCCTCGCCGCAGGGTCCTGGGCAATGCTCAGGGTCGTTGACATGTTGAAAATGTCCGAGTAGAAAGTTGACGTTTACTGGGAACGACGATAACGGGGATGTTGGGAAACCAGTGAAAGTATAACGTTATCCTGAATGAAAAAAATAAACGCAAGCCCGGAAGTGAAGCGGACAAGTACAGTACATGACAGTTAAAGAGCTTTGAAAATGTAAATAAAGCTCAACAACTTGACAATATCGGAAGATCGAAAATATTGTGACGTTGAGGTGAGGGCTTGCTTATCCTGCTCCACACCGGTACAATGCGGAGCGACACGTCGTCGAGTGGTGCGAAGAAGAGCGAGCGAGTGGGCTGTTAACGTTTCACTCGATGAGATTGCGGTCGGAACACCCCAGACAGTCCAGGAGGATACCCAGGTGGTTGGTCATAGGGGAGTAACACGAAGTTGTTCTGGCCAGCACGAGTTAGAGGGGCCAAAGACCTATCATTGGCAACAAGAAGGGACTCAACTCCACAGGGATTGGGCAAAAAGTCAAGGATAGGTAATTATTGGGGGTTATGCTTGCTGAAAATACCACCGCAAAACACCACTGTTAGCTAACGGGCGCCAGGCCCCAAAACCGGCTCGTACACCACACATGCACGGAATGCAGAATGACGATGTCGATTCGCGATGGTGAGTGGGATGCCCTTTTGGCTGGTACTTGGCAGCCAATGGGGGTTGACTCGGCCAATGAACACAGCCACTCCGCGTTGTTGCAATCAGCGCTTTGGCCCATCATACGGGTTCGGTATGTGGCGATGCGCTGGTCTAGTGGGCTCTAAATAAAGGGCTCTAAAACGCTACTAGCGGGATTGGACACTGCCAGCGATCCCCCGCTCGTGTCTCTCTAGCCGATAACCCTGCTGTCCAGTCATAATATCCAGCGGGATTTCACATACGGCTGCACCAAAGGGTTTTCCACTGTGACAGGCTATGATAGACGATGGCTCTTACCATGTACCTGGGGGGGTTGTGTTTGTCATCTTATTAGGTCGAATATTTGTTTGGTTACTTTGCCGTTCGCCCTTCACTCGGGGGTCGCTTGCATAACCGTCGCATCATGACTAGAGCATGGCGATAATGACATGGAGACCTGGGTTTGCTTATTGCTTGAAAAAGTGCAAAACCTCAAGGCAAAGGGAAGAGGCAGACCGGGAAAAGCAAATACATACTTATCCACGTCTGCAGATCAAATCCAGGCCAGCGGAAACCAGAACCAAGAAGACCGAAACTCCAAGCAATTATATGTACAGTACATACAACTCCAGGTACGAAGAATCGCAGGGTCGATCGCTGGATGACTATCGTCCAAGTAAGTTTTCAATATGCCCGTCGTTGTGTGCCAGTAAACTCGCAGATATCTGGCTTCCAGCCAGGAACCAAGCAGGTACGAAGCAGGGTTCGCAGACTCTGCATCGAATAAAGAAATGTCAGCCTTTTCTGTACGCCAGGTTGTACCCAGAGGGCAGCCCGCTTGCCCTACGTTTCAGGCTCTGGAAGGTAGATAAAAGGGACTTGATTCTAGTTACCATAATGTTCATAGATACGGTCATCCAGCTGCCTCAAATATTTTGATCCAAACAATGAGCCCCTGCAGAATAGTTCCAGCTAATTTAGCTTTCTCTTGTGAGCTGAATGGTGGGATTTTCAATTATTTGCTGTCAACTTCATTAGGCCTTTTTGATCCGACTATGGACAGCAAAGCATATTTGCAGCCTTGAAGTGAATTGCTTGATTTCAAATGTTTCAATACTTTATCCTGGTTTTAATCCTTGTGTACTCAAAGTCCAGCCAATTTTCCGACAGATCTTCCATTTTGATTCCAGGCTGGGAGCCTGAAAATTGCCTCGATCACTTCCCAGCGTATCCACGATTTTGTTGCAAGAACTAACCTGTGTCTTTCTCAGTATGTCAAAATTCCACACTGGCAGTCAACATTCGAACTTGAGCACGGGAAGGCCTAACTTAACTTGTGCCCCAAAGGTTGGCCCTCGAAATGCTAATGACAGCAAACTTGTTTCTGTCTGGACTGATGGCCTGTCCAATTGCAAATTTGAGAGGGGCTGTGTGTTGGCGCCGGCTTCTTAATCACGTCCTGAACCAAGTTCCGGACAAGGTGTCGCCCGTCGCCCATACCTGCTTGAAAAGCCGGTTCTCCGAGTTCGTAGGGTTAGAGATTGTTCAATCCGCAATTCCACATTCCAATAATTTGTGGCTCAATTGCTCGCCCTAGGTTATGCGTCTGTTGCTTATATGTATTTATTTAACTCTAGCTGTCAAAAAGTTCTGCTGCAGATAAGTCCGCAATTGATAGGGGACTTCTTACTCGGAAATAAGTTCTTGATATATCGTCCTCCATAGTTTCAAATATATATTCTGACTTGTTCCTCCTAGCGTTTGGGAAACTTCCTAGGTAGAGACTATAACCCTTTGACAAAAAAGGGGTGTTGAGCAACGCTGCGGGATAATCGCGCGGCTATGCGAGACGCGGTAGTTCGACTATCATGTGATATCAAATGTCGTCTCGGCCGTGAGAGATATCTCGCCGCCGTTCTATGACTCAAACAACCAGGACAAATACCTATGGGTATAGCCCATATGTCCCTCCTTGTCTCCTTTCCAGGGAGAAACCTTCACGCAGAGAAATATAGAGCACACAGCAAAAAAGACATAGAGGACCAAAACCTTACAATACGAACACAATGACCACTCAACAACCAACCAACCCCACCACCACCACTACCACCGACTCCGAAATGTCTCTCCGCGCCACAGCTCTCATCACAAACCTCTCCGCCGTAACGGCGCGCATCGCCGCCGCCTCCGCCAAAGTCCCGCAAACCCAACCCCAAAGACCCCAACGCCCCGTCCGCCTGCTCGCCGTCTCCAAAATAAAGCCCGCCTCCGACGTCCAAATCCTCCACGAGCACAACCCAACCCTACACTTCGGCGAAAACTACTTCCAGGAACTGCTCGAGAAGTCCAGGGCCCTCAAGGCCCTCTCGCCCGAGGTCCGCTGGCATTTCATTGGCGGCCTGCAGTCGAACAAGTGCGTGTCGCTCGCGCGCGATGTGCCGGGCCTCTTCGCGGTCGAGAGCGTGGATACGGAGAAGAAGGCGAATTTGCTGAATCGGGGGTGGGGGGAGAGGCTTGCTGCTGCTGGCGATGCGGATGCGGATGCGGAAAATCGACTCCGCGTCTACGTACAGGTCAACACGTCTGGGGAAGCGAATAAATCTGGCGTCGAACCTGTGGAGGCGACGCGTTTGTGTCGGCATATCCGGGAGAATTGTCCGCGGCTGAAGCTGGTGGGGCTGATGACCATTGGGGCCCTGGCGAGGTCGCAGGCGACGACGCTGGAAAATGAGAATGAGGACTTTTTGTGTCTGAGGGAGACGAGGGATAGGGTCGAGAAGGAGCTTGGGCTGGCGGGTGAAGATGGGGAAGGGGAAGGGCTGGAGTTGAGCATGGGTATGACTCAGGACTATGAAGGGGCGATTAAGATGGGGAGTGATCAGGTTAGGGTTGGAGCTGAGATATTTGGACCCCGGCCCCCGAAATTGGAGGCTAAGTTGGTGGAGAGGGAGAAATCTTAGAGGACGATCGGGATAAAAGTTGGATATCTGGTGTATTTATGATTAAAATGAGACTATGTACGGAGTTTGTGACTGTAGATTACTAATTAAAAAGACTCCCACCTTCTCAGTTCTTAAATTACATTTGAAATTATGTACACGTATAGAACATACACATAACTATATATGGGTATGAGTCCCTTCGTTCACGCTCTACCAAGACAACTGAAATTAAAGAAGGCAAAGACCAGATGGATAATTCAAAAGTAATTGTAAAGAAAAAAGGGAGTGCCATCCAAACGAATAAACAAATCAAAGTGGGGGGGGTGATGGATAGTAGGGATGTCAACAAGCTATAAATATGTATAAATGATATTTCTTTTCCCTATTCAGCGACGCTCTGGGGGATCTCTATCTATCCCAATCATCAGAGCCATGATCAACAAAGACACCCTGGGAAAGTCGCTCCTCCATCAGTTTCACCAGTGCCTGTGGCACGGCCTCTTGTGTTGCACGGATCGTTATACGGTACATCTATTTTTCCGATTAGGTATTGATATATATGCGTATATCGCGGAAGCTTCTAATAAAGGGAGGGAGATTGAGTTGAGAGGGAGGGGGTGGGGAGGGGGAAAATAGGTCACATACCTTCTTCTCGTAATTCGGTTCCAACCGCAAGAGACACCCAGTTTTGCCACTATCCATTTGATAAACAGCGCAGCCGACCAAATTTTTCGAATTCGGATCGACTCCGCTAAGGATCTTGAACCTAAACCCTTGCACAATGCCCCGTGTGAAGGACTCCGTTATTGTTCGTCCCTTACCCTGGACGGCAAAAGTCGACTGCGCCTCAAGCGGTGGGCCCCCGATCTGCCGCCATCGTTTGAAAAAGTCATCAGGCGATAAAGTCGATTCATCCATGTACTTGTGCATGAGGACAGGTAGCTGCAACGTGTATGCCTGGAGGGCGCCGGCAAGGTAGGAAATCCGAATGGTGGGCGGCTTCGTGAATGCGCCCTTGGCCTCGAAGCAGATTGTCTGCTGAGTCTGGCTCTGGGCCTGAACATCCGGATCCGGTAGGTTTTTAGAATCAACCTTGATGCTTTCGGGAGAAGGGTTATCCAACGTTGTGGTGAATGAGCCAATCGGGAACGAAGACTTATTCGTAAAGTATAACTTGCATACGCCTAAATGAACGCGGTACTCGGAACGTAGGCCAACCTGAATCTGTGCATCTTCAAATAGAACACCCTCGTCTTTGAAGTAAAGACGGTTAAAGCCGATTTCCCAGTCAGCGGAAAGATGTGCGGCACTAGCCAGATTCGGTTCCGGACCGTCTGAACTGGAGGTCAGATCCAAGCCAGCCAAGTCTGAAGATACTGTTGTTTTTGCTGTGCCGTTGGTTCCAGCCGAGGTGCCGTTTACGATTGTAGTGAAAGAACGCTTAAGTCCTGCCTGTTGGGCCAAGCTAATTTCTTTTTTGTCGGCATTGGCAGCTTTTCCACCCACAACCCATGTTCGCTTGTCACTAATGCCGGCACTCTTCTGGTGCAGTCGCGATAAGAGAACTGATGTTCTCTCCGAGAATGGTGGCATCTCATCACAAACGGTACGGAGGAGGTCGTCCGTCGGTAAGGTTGCGAGTGTTAGATACTCGCAGGCTCTTTGTTGAAGTTCTGAATCTGGTGATTGGCTGTATACGCTGAAAACACGAAGTAGTTGTGGTTTAATCTCCGGGAACAGGTTAACAAATTTAATGAATGACGAGAGGAGTAGAGCGCGAGTAGTGTCTGAGCAATAATTCAATTTGTTCTGTAGGGCCAAAAACTGTTCAATGGGACTGCACCCTTTATTGTCCGCAATTAAATGACCAAATTCACCAAGGATGTAGCCGCCAATCTTCACCAAGCTATCGTGGCAATCGCCTTTGACGTATTGTAAGAGGTGTTGAGCTGCGTAGGCTTGTAGTTCCTCGTTGTTGGTCACAATCTGGATGACTCTCTGCCAAACCTCATCACTGACATGGTCACCAGCCAGAGAGAGCAGTTTCAGGGAGATATCAATATACCACTGGGCATCAGTGGCATATTTTTCAGTCAAGATCGCAATCTTGAGAACCATTTCTTCTCGGATAGAATAATCGGCAGTCTGCAGATACCTGAGTAGTTCGTTTACGATCGGGCGCGCATTAGAGGTATCACACATGCTGTACAAAAGATCCAGGCCCTTGCGTCGAACACTGATATCCCGGTCTCGCAATGAACCAAGGATGATATCTTGGTGGGCTTTGATAGGGTCGAGTGTCTCTGCTCTCGCTGCAAAATGCGTCATGGCTTCTAGGCCAAGGTATCGAACATTAGTCTCTCGGGATGTTATGAATCTGCCGAGGCGAGAAGATATTGTCAGCATGAGGTTACGTTCGGTATCAAGGTGAATAAGAAGATTGATAGCTTCAAAAAGAACTGCGTTTTGCGCGTTGTTTTGCTGGACGTTTTTCGGCATGTCAATTGCCGAGTTCATGATTTTCTCAATGGACTGTCTAATGAGGTGCCTGACATGCGTGTCCTCTATATTAAATTCGAAAATATTAGCTCCATTATCTTCCAATCGGGGTAACGGGGATATCGGTACAGACCCGAGGGAGGATAATACTGAAGTAGCCTTAAAAGCTTCACTTGCACCCAAGGGCAGGGGACCTTGTAATATATGTAGTCCGGAGCGATGTCATTGTCGACGACGATTCTCTTAAGCCGCTGGGCGGCTTTGGCGTAGCTTCCTTTATACTGATCGGGGTTATCTTGCACCAGGGCCATCACGAGCGACAGGACCGAAAGAGTAACGCCCATGTCGGGGTCATCCATTAGAGAAATTATCCGCTCTGCCCATTCCGGCTGGACGATGCCAGGATGTTTACGATACAATCGTAGAAGCGTAAGCGCGGCCTTCTTCTTCACAAATGCCTTCGACGTGCTACAGAGAAAAGAAAAAATATTGTGAGCATGCGAGCCAGCAACGATTGATAGTTTCCTTCGCCAGAAGCAACACTCACGGAGAGATCAAAAGCCGGTGCACATCGACACCCAGGGCTTCGCCCATCTCTCTCCCACCGACATTGGCCACTGCATGTAGTGCCAGACAGTTATTAAGCTCATTATGGTCCAGCAGGTCCTTCCGGATGCTATTCACCACCAAATGCAATAACTCATGACCCTCATGAAGAAACAGCGTCACCGCCAGATACCCAATCTGTTTTTCCGAATACTTGTTCGCAGAGATCAAATTTACAGCTTCCAGGTGTCCAAAGTCGATATCATAACCCTGTATATAAACGTAGAGCAACTTGCAAACATATTTCTTCTTTTGGTAGCCGTTTAGGTTCGCGTCTTTGAACTTCTGCCGGATGTTCGCCAATTCCTTGTTGATCCGCTTCTCTTCCAATTCCCGGGCCCGCGCGTTCCGTAAGTCGGCAATGAACTGCACCAATCCCCGCATGGACGACATGGTGGCCGAAATTGTAGTCGTCCGTCCGTGTTCACCGCAGGTGAATGGTGTGTGATTTTCCCAGGGGGCTTATTTGGAACTGCCCGTAGCCAGCCAAGCCAAGCTACGCACAAGGCATCAATCACGCATAGTTCTGCTTGTCGATGCCAGAGAGTTCATACCAGCATGGCTGTGGCTCGACGAGATAGGGGGTGTGCCAGCTGGTGCAGGTCGGAGGTCAGCGTGAGCCAAGAAAGGGACTCGGGGATAGTAAGAAAAGTGCCTTGGACAAGACAATCAAACTAATACAGAGCACGAAGCGCGACAGTGTCAGGACGGGATATTATTGTCTTAGAAATGGATAATCTGGTGAATGGGAAGACTCCTGATTCTTGCTGCTGGTGCTACATGCATGTCATTCGGGTGTGTCTTGGAGACGCACGATGATGGGTGGGGCGGATCAATAGTTATGCCGGTTTCCCGCAGTTCTTAGGTCAGGTGATCTATTAGCTCTTTCTTCTATCTAAGGTTATCTCAGCGGGCTCAGACCTCTGGCTCGGTTTGAACAGGTTGCAGCATTATTAACTAATCCGGCATGACACTAACCTACTTTTGATACAAGTCATGTGCTCAGAGCAATCCTTGCCAGAGAGTCTGAGAAGAAATGATTTCATCTTCAATGAAGATTCTCAAGATTTACAAGGATTTTTCAGATTCTTCAACTTTGACTTTCTATTACTATATATTTATATATCTTTGAGATTTGAAAATCACCTTAGCTTATAGCTAAAGAGAAGAAGAATAGAAACATTTCTTTAATATTTTAAAAAAATCTATATTTAAGATAGATATATACTCTTGAAAATGATTATATTTTTTAATCTCAGAATTTCTAAGAGCTTTTTTTTATATAAGAAATTGAATTAAAATTCCTGTATTTAAAAATATACTACTTAACTTTAAGATGATACTTCTATTCTAAGAACTTAAGATATGAATAGACTGACTGTGTAACTGTGTCTGAGATCAGAATCAGATTTTTTAATAGTTTTATTATTAATTTAACTGATCTCATTACACAGTTTTAACATTAGATAGTAGTCTTATACTGTCTCAGTAAGACTTACTGTCTACTCTTATCACATTTTTTAAATAAGATTATGATTTTCACTTCTCAATTTAAATTATTTTTATTACTTTAAATGACTTTAAATCTCATTTTGTCACGCTTCTGACCGTGTCAAGACCCTGCTGCGGTTTCACACAGCTCATTACTTTCATATGAATGATTTCATCTTATTTGAACTGATTTTCAATCACTTTATAACATTATTCAGATATATCATAGAAAGATCTGATTAATGAATATAAGAACCTCACTTCTATATAAGATTAGCAGATTATTCTTTCTTAGCAGTGAGACACTGCTGAGATATCACTTCAGCTATTCTTACTTATAAAATGAGAGAAGAGTATCTGCTCATTATCTATATAGAATAGCTAGATACTGACTTCTTATAAAAGAAGTCAGTGATTTATTTTTTCTCTGACTGAAATATATATAAGAGTTA